AATGATTTTTTTTTTTTTTTAAATTTCTCATTTTGTATTTTAGAAAAAATGTTTTTCAACGATTTTTTTTCTTCTTTCTCCTAGCTGAGTAAAAAACAATTTATATGCTTCCGTGAATGACCAAAATCAAGAGAATGTCGACTTTCACCGGTGAATGTCAACAATCACAGTCGCTTTGGTGAATGTCCGTATATTTGTTATATCCGATTTGATATTAATTTATTCGTTGATATTATTATATTTATTCGATATTTTAATATCTACTGAGGATAGATTAGGAGAAACATCAGTGTCCGAAGTACCGGGTAGTGGCACTGAACCTTAATAAAAACATCAGTGTAGAGCAAATATATACCAGGCAGTTGCATGTAACTAGACCTAATGTATAGTTCGGACATTTACCAAAGCGATTGTGTGATTGTCAACATTCACCGGTGGAAGTCAACAGTCACTCATTTTTTTTATCATTCACCGTAACATATATATATATACTATATATATATTTAAATTCGAATTGAAAAATAAAGCATTCGAAGTACGCAAAAAAAAAAATTATTTAAAAAAAAAATATTAGGTAGTTGGTTAGTTCGTAAACAAAAAATAAGGCAGTTGCAATATTTCGAGTACAAAAAATTAAATGATTGTAAAATTTCGAGTACAAAAAAGTAGTTGCATTAATTTGATTTCTTCAAAAAATAAATAAAATAAAAAAGTCTTAAAAATTCGAGGACAAAAAAAAAGTTTAATTAAATATTTGTTTGAATAAAGTGAGCAGTCAACACTGCATGGCGCTACAGTAGCTCCAGTTCATGAGCGTCATTGGTTCCTGTTCATGGGCCTCCTCAATAATTAGAAATCTTCTAAAAGGCCCCCTTAATGTCTCAGACAAATAATGTAAATTTTCATCGATTTAAATTCATCTAAGTTGAAATGGGAAAAGAAAAACAATAAATATTATTGATCATTTTACAAATATTTAGCAGATGTAAGAATCCTTTTCTTATGTGCAAAATTTAAAATTCAATAATTATTTTTTTTTTTTTTTTTTTTTTTTTTTTTTTTTTTTTTTTTTTTTTTTTTTTTTTTTTTTTTTTTTTTTTNAATTTTTCCAGTGAGGGTTTCTTTACCTGAATACAGATTCTATCAAAGTTTCTCCAACTCCCTCAATTTCTTAGAGAAAATAAAAGAGCATTAAACTCTTAACGAAATTGCAAGTATTTGATAATTTCCTAGCATTTCTAAAATTAAATATTCGCTTTCGAGGAAGGTATAAGAAGAAGTTTAAAATTAAATAAACAAATTCCGAAAAGGAAAAAAAAATGTTTTCGAATAACAAACTGGCTCACGTAAAGATATATTTCTAAACAATTCTTTATTAAAAACCAATTTTTTATTCAAAACCATTTTGAACATAATAAGTAAATTAATTTCTCTAGCAGTGTAAAACATACAGGTGTAAATTAATTTCTCCAGCTAAGTTCGGTCTCTTAAAGTAGTGAAGTAATCACTACATTTCGAAAGTAGTTAATTGTCACTGCATTTATAAAAAAGTAGTTGTAGTTAACTACAAAAATAATGTAGTTTTTCCGACCGCTGCTCAGGATTCGGCTTCATGCCTTACTCGTAATTTTACCTCAATTCACTTTTTCTATGCTTTAAATTGCTTATGGAGGTGAACAAGAATTAACGATTCATATACTTTCGTTAGCGATATAGCGTTTTCTTAAGAACGCGCTCATTTGTGGTTCCCCACTTTTTATTCCCATAACAAGAAAAGCAAAATATCAATTCCAATTCTGAGACAGCGTGTCCGATTGCGTGCCGCACAGACATTTGCTTAAAACATCTTGATTAAAACCAACAATCACCTCACTTCAAATGAGTTCTCTGTTCTACAACTAAACTATAGACAGAAGAAGAAAAAAAATATTGAGATCAGTACTCCTGTGTATTTGCACACCTGTGTCTTTACCCGTTCTGGTGTTTCAGACGGTTTGTCTGGGTCTGAAGGGGGGGATCTCATAACTATTTAGATCTGTGATTTATTTCTTCTCGTTCGATGACTCATAACCGTATCCTTGGATGGAACATTTCGTAATAACCGATTCAGAACTCGAAAAATAATGATCCGACCTACATACTCTGTCTCTAAACCTGTCATTATTGGATGAGTTTGCCTCGCAGGACTTCCACATGGCCGGGATTCATGGTCTTTGCTGGACTATACATTAGTGTAAGTTCTTTTTTTTTTTTTTTTCCTAGTACTTCTTGTGTCTCGTTTGACGCACCTGGATGTTCGGCACGCAACTGTCCTGCGAGTTCTTTACAACCCCCCCCTTTTTTTTTTGTTTTTAAATGTGCTGCATTTGGAATGATGGTTTATTTATTCGTGACTACACTCTAATTATTTTGTGGTACATTTTTTTTTGTACATTTCGATTTCTTAAAAGAATTCATATGTAGATAGGTTTCAAATACTTTTTTTTCCAAAGCTTTTATGTCATTAAGCTCAACATTTAATTCTCTCAAAATCTCTTCTTAGTTTCTTCCCTTCCCCCTTTTTTTTCTTTCTATCTTTATGTTTTTTTCCTAATTAATGATTTTTTTTTTAAATTTTTCATCTTGGAATTTCGAAAAAATTTCTCTCAACGGTTTTTTTCCTTTTTGTTTCTTTCTCCCAGCTGAGTAAAAAACAATGTATTTGCTTCCGTGAATGATCGAAATCAAGAGAATGTCGACTTTCACCGGTGAATGTCAACAATCACATAGTCGCTTTGGTGAATGTCCGAAATATTTGTTATATCCGATTTGATATTAATTTATTCGTTGATATTATTATTTTTAATCGATATTTTAATATCTGCTGAGGATAGATTAGGAGAAACATCAGTGTTCCGTATACCGGGCAGTGGCACTGAACCTTAAAAAAAAACATCAGTGTAGAGCAAATATATACCAGGCAGTTGCATGTAACTAGACCTAATGTATAGTTCGGACATTTACCAATGCGACTATGTGATTGTCAACATTCGCCGGTGGAAGTCAACAACCGCCCATTTCGGTCCTTTACAGTGACGTATATATACTTTTTTAAAATCGAATTGAAAAATTAAGCAGTCGTAATAATTAAGAACAAATAAAGTACACAAAAAATAATTAAAAAAAATATTGGTTAGTTGCATATTTCGTGGACTAAAAAAAAAAGTAGTTACATTAATTTGACTTCTTCAAAAAATAATTAAATAAAATAAAAAATTCGAGTACAAAAAAAAGCATAATTAAGTATTTGTTTGAATAAAGTGAGCAGTCAACACTGCATGGTGTTACAGTAGCTCCTGTTCATGGGCATCATTGGTGGGTGTGTATCCTCCTCAATAATTAGAAATCTTCTAAAGGGCCCCCTTAATATCTCAGACAATGTAAATTTTTATCGATTTAAATTCATCTAAGTTAAATTTAAAAAAATGGCAAATATTATTGATAATTTTGCAAATATTTAGCAGATTTAAGAATCTTTTTTCTGATGTGTAAAATTTAAAATTCAATGACTTATTTATTATTATTTTATTTATTTTTTATTGTGCATTACTCGTGCTCCAAGTTATATTGCACATCTGATTAAGATACAAAAAAAAGTATCATATAACGCTGTAAAGTGTAAAATTGTCACAAAATTACTAAAAAAAATATTTGTACTTTATAAAGATATTGATTCACATGAATTTGACAGTTCAATCCACGTAAATTACATCTTCCACGATTAAGAATACACGTGAATTTTTAATCACTCATACTTGGGATTCATTTTTTTTTCTTTCCAATTTTTCATCCTGATTAGATTCATATTTAGGTTAGCTGGTTTTAAATTCACTAAAAAACAAAGGTTTTCGTGTTTAGGGGAAAAAAATTTCTCAGACAAATCTGCTACTTTGCAACTATGGGAATAAGTTTTGCATTGATTAGTAAAATCAATAGATTTTAATAAACTTTTGCAATTACCTAGCTGCAGAGAGAAAATTTTATAAAAATTTGCTTTATGCAGTGGATACTTTGACAAACTTTTCCCCATGCACTGCAGAGTGTTTCTTTATTAGACATGGTGCGTAGCATTTTTAAAAAGTGCTTAAAGATGCGTATTTTCGATTTTCGTAATTTAAAAGCCCTTAAAGGTGCCTTTTTCATTGGCTTTTTTTAAATAGTGCTTCACTTTCCCTTTTCGAAGATGGTTTTTTTTTTCTCTTTACCATGTCGATTTTTGCTACGTATTATGCAAAAGCGTGCTTTTAGTATTGTTCTCTTAAATGCTTTCACAATTCATTAAACCACAATCTATTTCGGCGATGGTCCGTCGCCTATGGTCCGACAGTACCACAATCTATTTATTATGGTACTGTCGGACCATAGCGTAAGAAAACACTAATCATTTTACATGTTTGATGCAGTACTTGCATATATACTGAGTTGGGTCCGGGGAGATTATTCCACTCTCATTTGCAACTCTGCTGCATTTTGGAAGATATTCTCAATTTCAGGCTTCATTTTCCTCCCTCTGATATCGAACCGAAAAATCTCTTGATCATTTTATAATGGCTAATATAATCAAGAAGAGTTCTATTCTCAATTTCAGGCTTCATTTTCCTCCCTCTGATATCGAACCGAAAAATCTCTTGATCATTTTATAATGGCTAATATAATCAAGAAGAGTTCTTGGTCAGAAACTAGTTATTTTATGATGATCATGTAAAGTCTTGGGAAATTATTTTGCATTTTGGTAGTGTATATAGTGCTTAAAAATATTTTTTGAGTGCTTAAAAAGTACTTATTAGGTGCTTATTTTTTGTTGAATAATTTGGCTACGCACCCTGGTTAGAGGTTTCCTCTAACTCTAATTTATTTTTTAAATAAAGTATTTCTGCTATCAATTCACAATTTTTTCTAAACTCTGCTCATAAAGTTAAAAAAAAACAGGAATTAATATTTGATTTTTCTTTTCCACTTAGATGTAGACACTGTTAGAAAGATGGTTCTGGATAATGGTGGCACATTATGTCCAACATGTTGCACTCCTTTTGACAAGGGAAAACACAGGAAACTCATAGACACGTGTGGACATGAACTCTGCTATGCCTGCATCAACTCAGACCACTGCCCACTCTGCCTTAATCATGGTAATTACTCCCTCTCTCATTCACTGACCATCACAGGGGTCAGCGATGTTAATCCTCAGTCGTCTAGGAGGAAATATTTGTAATGTATTTTGAGGATAAAACGTATATTTTAAATTATTCAAAATTATGATCTAGTGATTGTCTGAAAGTATCATGCAGGAGAAGAGCCTTTCTGACTCCAGCGGCCCATAATTACGCGGATGTGATCTCAATTTGATATTCTATATCTCGTATTAGTACGTATACTTACGGAGTGTGTGAGGAAGTGTTTCTTTCTCATTCTGTCATGCCTAAAAAAAAATATTAAAAAGGGAAAATATCGTAGTACACAACTATACAACTGAGAAGAGGAGGAGAAGGAAGGGGGTCGTAAGGTCAAGACATGAAACAAAGAGAGCTTATTCGAGCTTAGATGGTGCATTCGAGCTTGACAATTAGAAGTATTCGCGATAGTAACTATCGCGAATACTTCTAATTGTATATACAGGGTGTTCAAAATTCGATCTATAAATTCAGAGGGGTGATTAAAAGCATCAAGAGAATGAAAACTAACTATACTACATGGTTTTGCAAACCACGTTGAAAGGGTTGAAAATCGTAAAAAAAGAACCCTTGTAGGTTCCCTTGAAGAAAAGAACCCTTGTAGGAATATAGATTTAACGAAAGTTAGAGGTTAGTGGAGGTTTGCTTCACCTAAATTGCTGTTGCTTCGGTCATCATCAAAAGCACACCTAACATCTTCGACAGTGTTTGGGAATCGTTTTTATGTCGTTGTAGGTAGTACCGGGACGTCAGCGCCACTTCGAAAAACTCTGTTGAAAAATTATTTTATAGTTAGTAAATATGTAGCATATTTTGTAGTTGTTTTCTGGGACCTCGAAACCTTAAGTGTTTTTTCGAGATATTCACCCTCACAATAGGGTTTCGAAACCCATATTTCACTGTTAGTTTTCCTCTTCATGACGTCTTTTTTTATATCTCTGAATTTATGGGTCGAATTTGTATGTTAAACAACAAAGAGAAAAAACTTGTTAAGAAATAGGCGAGCGAATCTAAGAAAATCAACTTTAAAATGCAAAAGAATTTCATCAAATAGTTCACATAAAATGTTTTTCCCCATAGAAAGCTGTGCTGTTTTAAGACTTGTTAAAATGTATCTTTATTTCATTCTCCCAATAAGGAAGTTAAAGTGTTTTCAAACTTTTCTTGTTCTTCCATTAAATTCTTCAATTCATTTCTGAATGATAAACCTTTTGACAATTTACCTTTAATTTTTGCTATTGTATTACAGCTCAAGCCCAGTATCAGCAACACTTATCCCAAGATGTTGGTATTCCTAGGCCTCGTCTAAAAACCAATGGTCATTTCACAACATACATGCAAGTAAGGGATAAGGCATCTCCTGAAAGACCTCTACCTGTAGGAGCCCTTCCACCTAAAGGTGATCATTTTCTCTTTATAGTTAGCTGAAATTTTATTATTAAAATACAGCACTTTATTATTATGGTATGGCAGTGTATTAAAAATCATTTTTATTGTGTAGAGTGAAAAAGTAGCAATATACAATACAGAACCCGTTATCCGGAAATCAGAAAACCGGAAAACCAAAAAACCGGAACGAAATTCGATTAGTTTTCCCGCCATTATAATTTTTTTTTCCGCATAAGATTTTAGGATTTTTCGTTCTTATTTGACAGATGTTTACCTTACCATCATTTTGGAAATAATCATAAGTGTATTATTTCATCGTTTTTTCTTCTTTTTAAGATTATTTCCAATTATTTTTTTAGTTGGGTTTAACTATAAAAAAAAACGGCTTTTTGTAGCGATTCAGAAAACCGGAAAAATCAGTTATCCGGAATATCGATGGTCCCGATCGTTCCGGATAATCAGTTCCCTACTACAATATACAATCGATATCTCGAAAATGAAAAATGTCAAAAAAATATTTTTCCCCTTGGCATTACGTACCCACCTAATGTTAGTTTGCATTCCTATGTCGAAAAGTTTCTTCTAAAACCTTCGTATGCTGAATTTTTTTCGAAACAGAAAATTATTATTATTAATTTTTTTTTTTTGGAGAAATCGCAACATAAGTTTATTATAAACCAATTATTTTCTATTAATTGCAAAATTATTTTTGTCCTTACCGTTTAATAAAATTATCATTGTTGTATTTAGGCTTATAGTCAACTATCATTACTTGCATATTTATTAGTAATTATTCTTACGTTTTATGACTCTACTTTTTAGAGTAATATTTTAGAATATATTTTTATACTTTTTAGAACATATTTAGTTCTGTTGTTATCTCGAAAACTAGCTATCTCAAAAATCTTTTAGCGTCCCTTCAACTATGATATATCAACAGTATACTGTGTGTCTATATATATGTATACAATTATATTTATAGATAGATATATATGTGTGTATATATATATATAAACTGCTGTTTGTAGAAAATGCAACACCATGAAGGAATCATCAGAATCAAATGAAATTCGCAGCAAATGTCAATTATAGGATATTATGCAAATTAATAAAGTTTCAGAGCCATCGCGCGTGCGTGGCGCGCGCAGCGCCCTCTGAATTGATGCTGAAAGCGTATAAATAAAGTGCTNAAATTTTTTTTTTCTCCAGGGTTTAACAATAAAAAAACGGCTTTTTGTAGCGATTCAGAAAACCGGAAAAATCAGTTATCCGGAATATCGATGGTCCCGATCGTTCCGGATAATCGGTTCCCTACTACAATATACACTCGATATCTCGAAAATGAGAAATGTCAAAAAAATATTTTTCCCCTCGGCATTACATACCCACCTAATGTTAGTTTGCATTCCTATGTCGAAGAGTTTCTTCTAAAACCTTCGTATGTTGAATTTTTTTCGAAACAGAAAATTATTATTATTATTTTTTTTTTTTTTTTGGAGAAATCGCAACATAAGTTTATTATAAACCAATTATTTTCTATTAATTGCAAAATTATTTTTGTCCTTACCGTTTAAAAATAAAATTATCATTGTTGTATTTAGGCTTATAGTCAACTATCATTACATGCATATTTATTAGTAATTATTCTTACGTTTTATGACTCTACTTTTTAGAGTAATATTTTAGAATATATTTTTCTACTTTTTAGAACATATTTAGTTCTGTTGTTATCTCGAAAACTAGCTATCTCAAAAATCTTTTAGCGTCCCTTCAACTATGATATATCAACAGTATACTGTGTGTCTATATATATGTATACAATTATATTTATAGATAGATATATATGTGTGTATATATATATATGTATTATCCATAACAATGTACTTTTAAAGCAGTAAATAAAATACAACATTTAATTATTATGGTTTTGCAATGTATTGTGATATGATTTTTTTGTGTAGGGTAAAAAAATAACAAATCTTTTATTGTGTTTTTTTTCCTTCAAAATTTTTAATTAAAATTTAAATTTCATAATTATAATAGATCCTTGCATTTTGTAATTTAAAAATATTGAGAAGAAAAAGTAGCTGAAAAGTAGGTTTGCAAATTATTTAGCAATAAAATTGAAAAACTTAAGAAAAGATGAAATGCTTAGTTTTGAATGAAAATGTATGGGATTTTCTATAGGGGGAAAAACTACCTAAATAATCTGCACTTGACATATTAGGCACTAGTTAAAGTGAGAATAAGGTCTTTATCTAAAACAACAGCTACATTTCTATTTGCATGATTTAACATTTTACATAATGTATTTTATTTATTTTTCGCTGTCTGGAAAGACAAGTTACTATATTCAAACAGTCAGAGCAATAGTTTATATAATCAATCATCAATAACTTTAAAAAATACAATAAAAATAATCAATCAGTTTAAAATAGTATTACAAATAAGTAAGTGAACACATTATTATTTATTTATTTATTTGTATATCAGTGAATACAATCAAACAGTCAACACTAATTAGTTGATGTAATGAGAGAAACAAACTTTTGAGGTGTAACAATACAGCGACCATTAATGTATACATAACCTAAGTAAATTGTGGAAAGCTCTTGATTCTGCACTTTAACACATCACCATAGTTAAGCTGGGTAGTTTATTATCGAGGTAGTATGCATATTCATGGCTTTCTAGCTTCACAAATATATTGTGCATATATATATTAACTTTTAATATTTTCACAGCAGCAAAGCCATGTTTGCCCTCAAGGACACCAGCTGCCTGTAGTCCTCGTATGTCTAGGCCATCTCGAAATTACAGGCATATGAAATGGCCTAATCCACTTATGGAAGATTCTCACACAGCTTTATCTGGTAAGAACAGTTTTGTTTTAATTATTGGGGAAATGCCTGCACATTGATTGTATTTCAAATGTTACATAACTTTTAAAAATTACATATGAGTTTTTCACAATTTGTTATTTAAACTTTTTGAGCAAGGTTTCTGTTAGAGGAAGTTTTAAGGCCTTAAAATATAAACAATTCTCCTTAAAATTTGAAAAAATTATCTATTTCAGGTAAATTATTTATTAAAATTCTAATTAGTATACAATTCTAAAAATATAACAAAATTTCTTATTTCCTGAAAAACAAATTTTTAGATGTATAACTATTCGGGAGTTAATATTTATTTATAATTTAACTGCAGCGTATTTATTTGCTTTGATTATTATTTTTATTGTTTTGAAATGTTTGCATTTTAAAATTAGAAGTTTTGGTTATTAAAAGTTTTGGTTATAAATAAGATTTTTTTTTATTGTTTTTCTTTTGTACATAAGTTCAGATTTTTGAGAAAATGTCTTAACAGCTTAAGTTGATCATTTAAGTAATTAAGAATATAAAAATTATTGGATATAACTTTTATTTTTGCTTAATAAAAATGGTAATGTATTATTAAATATAATAAATTATTGTAATTGTAAATTAAAATTAAATCTTATATATGCCATACAGTTTAGAAACTGAGAAAAGAAAGTTAAGTTTTTTCATAATTATAAGAGGAATTGCATTTTTTCCTCACAATAAATTATTTACTTATTGTGATAACGATGCTTTTATTTTTTAAACTAATTTTCTTTAATTAGATGATGAAGTTCAGTCCAACTCGAAGCACTTTAGAAATCATGACTTGTATACACGCCTTGGTCTTTTGCTTGGAGACCGTACACCATTGTCCAGTTCAAGGGTCAATATCAGCAGTTATTGTCCTGAGTCCTATCCTAGTATCTCATCCCTTGCCAGTAGTGATGCAAACACCACCAATACAAGTCCTCTGTCAACACTGACAGGTAGAAAATTTATGATAAAATACATTGTTTGTTAATCTATTTTGTGTTTGATATATTTTTTTTTTCATTTTTATAAATTTTTCATTTGATATATTTTTGTAATATTTATCAATATTCTGTTCTGTTATCTATTTTGGATTTGATAGATAGGATCTGGATAGATATTTTGGATTTGATAGATGGATGTGCTTTTGATTGTTTGATATTTTTTACCCATTTTTCAAAGAATTTTTTTAGAATGAAATTCTATTTTTGTATTCTTGTATGACTCTTTGAAATTTGATTCTTGTATCAATAAATATGATGTAAAATTATTTTGCCTTTTTGAATTTATAAGTAGGTAATAGAATTTTTAGATCCTGACTTAAATTAAATATATCTGCTTATTCTTTAAAAATTACTGTGTATTACTGGAAAAAATCTTTTCCAAAAAGTTGGCAACTATGGTTACCATTTATGTTAGTTGACAACTATGGTTAGTTCAAAAACTGATGTATTGAGCTTATTGTACAATTTGTGGTAAAAAGGTTTATTCATTTTTTTAATGAATAAAAAAACCATATTACTAAATATTAGTTTTTTTCTTAAATGCAAATACCTGAAAAATTTTGAGACTGTTTTCACTTTTTTTAAAAATTCTCTTCCATTTTGAAGTGTTTTCGATCCAACTTCTTATGCTGTGGGGCATAAAATTCTTTGAATTACAGTACAGTATACAAGGGTGAAGAAAAGCAGCATCTGTAATTTAAAGAGACTCTTTTCAAATTTTAAATATGCAACTTTTTTAAAATTACAAAACTCAAAATCTATTTGACTGATTATGTTCAAATTTTGTATTTTACCATGTTAATTACGTTCTTTAAATTGCTGTAAAACTTGTATGCCTTACATTTCAAAATTTTCTCGACCATTATTAAATAAAATGATAATAAATAACAATTATAAGAAAAAAATTTGCATAAAATTATCTTTGGATAAATGAATTGTTTAAAATTGTAAGCGAGAATTATTTAAATCATTAAATTTTTTTTTTTGAGATTTGGCAAAATAAGCAAAAAGTAAAATTAACATTAAGAGATTCAAATCTTTGACTGCTTTCCTGACCAAACTATTGATACCATATTTCCTAGACTGTGGCTTTTAATCATATTTTGAGCGCCAGAAATCTAAATCCGTCGGGAAAAAATTTATGTTTGTTCCCAGAAAATAAGTTTTCCTGTTTGATTTTGTAACTTAAAATATCGTCTGCACTAATTGATTAGTAAGTGTAAGATTAGGCTTTCAAACCCTTAAGATTGAGTCTTAATTTGTGAAAAATCAGATATTTGGATCATAAATCACTCACAGAATTTTTTTTTTTGTGCACCATACAATTTATAGTTTTATTTCACAAGTACTTAAACTCTTTTCAATGTCTTATGTTTTAGATTCATCAGATCCTGATCACATGCCTCGTACTAACGGCTTGCGTTCTGCTAGTCGAGATCAGAGCTCAGACAGTGTAGTATCTCTCATCAGCACAAGTACCGGTAACAGTTCATGCAGTAGTCCTTTTGGTACCAATTTTCAAAGGCATACTCTTGCCAGTAAGTTTAATTTGTTATTATAAAATCTTAAAAGACAGTAAAAATCCATTTTTTCAATAGTTCATAATAGCAGATGAAATTTTCAAACCAGTGAACTTGTTTTTGTTTGAAAAAAACATTTAAGACAAATGTATGACCTTAACTTATTGCATCATAAACTGAAATGTATCCTTCTTTCTACCATTCCTGAACCTTCTTTCCTCCTGTACCCTTAAACTGAAACCTTCTTTCTACCACTCCCTACATGGCTGAGAGGTGGGGACATATAGTTGTCAATTGAATGAATTTTAAAAAAATAAATAAAAATGTCATATTTACCTATTTTTCTTGACTTTCAAACAACTATTTGGAATTTAAATACATATCTGGTGTTTACTGCTTTAGTCTGTAGACTGATTTAAGTAGCTGTACATTTTAAACAAAACAGAAACTTCTATGACAGGAATGCTTTTACTATAAGTTTCCAAATCGTAACAAGTTTTTGTAAGAAAAAAGTGAAATGAACTGTAATACCTTTTGACCGAAGTAGTTTGTTAAAAATTCCTTTGCTCTAACATAAGTGGAATATTTGAAATTCTTTATGTTAATCGAGAGTATTTGGCAGCTCTTGCTCACAATTTTAAGCTCAAATAGCTTGTTGAAAATTCTGTTATTAAAATCCTTTTCTTAGGTAGATTGTTTATACAACTTAAGTTCAAAATTCAATGCATAAGTGACTTGCTCAATTATAGTTTAACACTCTCAATGCAGTTTAACATTGCTGTATACCGAGAAAGTCTGAAGGGACGAGTGTAGCCCTTCCCAGATGGTTTCTGTGTAGATTATTTAGACATCCAACATCTTAAAATGTAATCATAATTGTTGTAATAAAAATATCTTAGATCTTCAATCATCAATATTCTATGGTATTTTATTCAATTTCGTAAGCGGAAATATTTGATAAAATCGAACACTGACTTTTCAACTATACTTAGGGGCCAAATAGACTACATCCATTTTCCTAGTGCTAAAACTGTGTAGCATCATCAAGCTGTAACTCTTTTTTCATGAAAAAATTACATAATATTTAAATAATTTAACATCATTCTAAATCAACGACAAACTACATTGAAGCATACATTTGACATTTTACACATTTTTGGTGAAATACATTCGATACATATTATTTTGGAGAAAAAAACACATTCACCTTCTTACAAGAACGAATCACCAGTCTGTCTTCCCAAAGTCTTAAGTTATTCGATTTTAAAGCAGAAGTTGGAATGGAAAAAGGCAATTAATTAGTTGAGTTTTCATTTCTCTGAATGTTGTAATGGAATATTGTAATGCAAGTAATAATTAAATATCCAAGATCATATAATATCAAAAAGTATTAAACAACATTTTCTGAAACTAAGATAACTAGTTCTAATCTGAAATTATTAAAAGCTTTTCTCTCCAGAAATGGCATAGCATTAAAAACAATTAATTTGTTTCTTTATTGTGTTTTTAATCTCTCAATGAACTTATTTATATTTTCTTTAGGAACTAGTGATAGCTTTGTACAAATTGCTAAACGTAATTTGTCAAGAAGGCAGGCGTATCATAACAGTGATGAAAGTGCTTTGAACTTTTCTGCTGCTTGTAGTAAGTATTGCTCAACACTTCATGAATTTTATTACATTGTTTATTTTTATTATGTATTTTATTTTATTTTTCATACTTTTTATCATTTATGGCATGTAAATGATCTAATTTCGTTAGTTTTTAAAGATGTAGATCGGGATAGAAAATATTAGGGATTCAGGATTTTAAAAAGAAAGGAAGGAATTAAAACAGATCAATTTGAATGCAGTTTCTGTCAAACTCTTATATTTCAGAGAAATTTTTTTTCTTTTTCAGAAGTATGTTTTAAATTATAAGAAATTTTAAAAAAAAAAGTCTCCTTTTTATCTGCTGTAAAATTTTGTTAAACTGGAGAAATAAGGGAATGTTGTTGATAGGAAATTGACAAAGACTCTCCCTTAGAATTTGCTGTGTGTTAGCTTGAAATTATTTTTAATAAGTTGTATTTCTTAAATTGCTAAGTATTTTATGTGCTTGAATTCAAAGCTCCATTTAACACAAGTATATACACATATTTAGCTTCATGTAATTACTTATTATTTGCTTATTTACTTAATTATTATTTGCTATATTGATCATAAGTGTATTTTTTTATCAAAAATTCTTTAATTAGATTTTTTATTCTTAGTAGACAAACAAAATTTTTCCCAAAATAAAAAAAAAAAAAAATTGTGTAAGAAAAGGTATTAATTAAAATTAAACTATTAAACGTTTGAATTTTCATTAATTTAAAAATGCCACAACAAATGGGTACTTTTTTAAAGTGTTATTTTGTTTGAATTGGAAAATAACAAATATCTTTACTTTTAGGAAAGAATGTTTCTAAAATAATAAATAAAACATTGAAACCCTTATATTTTGAAGTTCCTCAACCTGAGCAAGATCCTTTATTTATTGGTCGACAGTGGCTTTTTAAAGAAATTGAACAGGTTTGTGTGCATAAATATTAGTTACTTTTTCTTTCTTTCTTTTTTCCATGTGCAATAAATACTTCTTTCTTGATTTCAACTTTTTACATTAACTTAGTTATTTATATTTCATTAATGATAGTAGTTATTTGTTTTTCTATGATCAATAATGAATAGTCGAAATATTAAAGTTTGAGAGTGAACAAAATGTTTTTAAAAAAGTAAACTTTTTTTAAAAAAGTCAACTTTTTAAAGAAAATTTGTTTAATAACTTATGTGGGTTAAATTTTATAAAAATCCATACATTATAATGCACGTGCACCATATTTGGCATTCAAATAGTACTTTAATAAATATTTTACTAATTTCTTAAAACTTCCAAGAATTCAATCGATGAATTTGCATTCTTTCTGTATGTGTATAGTTTAAAATTGTTATCTGATGGATTTCCATTAAAAAAGAATTTATTTGTTAGAATGATTTATTCTAAAAAGAAAGTTTAGGATAATTTTTCTGCAAGTCATGGAATTATTTTCAAATAAAAGTTAAATGTAAAAAAAGTGGTTGTATAAATCTAAAAATGAGTTTTAAGTTGAACTTTTGCATATTTGAAAGTATTTTGTGTTCTTGTATGTGTGTATGTATATACATGCACACACAACAGATATGTAAGATAATAATTTTCCAACAAACTATGAAATTGTTTTAAAATTAAAGCTAAATAAATAAAATATAAGTGAAATTTTATAAGTTGGAAAAATTGTTCTAAGCTGAAATTAAATATTTTTAGAAGCATTTTGTGGAACTTTACTGAATTATCAATGTTTGGTTTTAAAACTATTGAAATTGCTGCTTAATAAAATACTAAGAAATTATTTTGTTAAATTCTCTAATCATTTATTTATCGCAATGCTTATGTATTTCAAATGTTTAGGATAATCTTTGAATTTGTGTTTATTAATTGCAGGAAATATCTGATCCGAAAAGTAGAAAAGCAATTGCTATTGTTGGTGGTCCTGGCAGTGGGAAAACGGCAATAGTATCTCAATTGGTTGAACATAGTTCCTTTAGGATGAAAAAAGAAGAGGCTATTTATCATGGTATTTGAATTATTTTTGTATCTTTGCCTTCTTAATGTGTATTTATGTATTCTTAGCAAGATTTTTTTACATGAAAAATTATAAGCTGTTTAGTTTAATTTAACAATGTATTATAATTTTTATTGGAGTAGAAATTATAAAAAGTTAGTCTCTGGTCTGGAGAGCCATTAAACAAGAGATATTGCTAGTTCATACTCATTTACACTTGCCTATTTACATGTATCAATTAGATTTTTAAAAAATATAAATATAGTAATTTTAAATGAAAAATTGCATTTAAGAGAAGTGTAATGTTCATAATTATGAAGAAAACACAGGCCAAGACATTAAAGGTAAGAACAAAAAAATATAGGATTCCTTTACATTGATTTCTGATCAATTATATGGTCTATTATACTTACATGTATCAATTAGATTTTCTAAAAATCTATGTAAAGTAAATTTAAATGAAAAATTGCATTAAAGCGAAGTGTAATGTTCATAATTATGAAGAAAACACAGGCTAAAACAGGAAAATGAAATTCAAAAAGTACATGAATCTGATTGTTGGTGAATTATATGGTGATGTGAAGTTGAATTTTAGTGGTTTCAGTGGAACAGGCATTAATTTCAAGCTCTGTATTTGCATTTCAACAAATTATTTACAGTGTTCTTGATTATTTCTTTAAGAAAAAAGTTAAATTTATCAAAATAGATTTTACAAATGTTAACCAATTGAGATGGAATAAATTTTTTCAAATATGGCTATTAGTGTTACTGCCAATGGGCTTGAGTTTTTCACTTTAATTAGTGATGAAATTAAAATAAATCAGATGCAAGATTATCAATAATTATCAAATAATTAATTATTAATTCCAAAAAGTATGCAAAGAGAAATCTGGCCTGCTCATTTTTTACATTGTCAATTTTTAAATTTTAGCAAATGGATGCAAAAACTTCTACAAAAAAATGTTACTGATGCCCATTGCTTTAAAATATGTTATTTATTCCCTGTTTTTGTGTAAATGAAATCAAAATGAATGTTCTTAATGCACTTTATGTGTTGTAATTTAATTTGTATCTCACAGATATCCAGTCTTTGGATGGCAGTGATTACAACATGTCCAATTCAAGCAGCAGTGACTCTGGTCTTTACCAGTCAATATCAACCTTACATCACAGCGGTGCACGTTCCTTGGGCAATCGACTAGTTGCTTATCATCTTTGTCAGGCTGACAACAACATCACATGTATGGTGCTTGAATTCGTACATAGCATAGCTGCACAACTCTGCAAGGCACCTCAGTTAACTGCTTATAGAGACCTTGTGGCTAGAGATATAAGGTGCGGACATCACAGATTTAAAATTCTAAAAAGTGTATCTTTTTAAATGAAAGGAATTATTATTTGTAATTGTGTAATTTTTGTTACATATAAATAATGTATGGAATGATGAACAACTTTAACTCTGCCAGTTAGGAAATATTTGCTCTACAAATTTAATTATTTTCTAATTGTAAGGTTTTTATAATTAAATTATCTCTTAATTTTTAGCAATAATTAAATTGCCTTCAAGCTTTCATTATTCATCTAATTATAAAATGGGTAATTTAATTTCCTACTAATTTAAAAGAATAATAAAATTGCCTACAAATTTTATTACCAACCCTGTTATAAAGTAGATATGATGTAAATAAATTAAATGGGTTAATAATTAAAAGGTTAAATTTTTTACCCTTTGATTATTAGGCAGTTATTTAATTTATTTATTAACGTAAGGAATTAAATTGTCCACAAATGTTGTTACATGTATGTAGGAACTGTATAATTTTACTGTTAGAATTTGATGGGGAAAGTCTTGTATGCAATAAATTCTCCCTAAAACAATTTAACAAGAAAAAACTTTATTCATTCAGAATAAAATTATTTTTGATACTTTTTAGAAATTAATATTGTACACAAATGCTGCATTATTAGTCTGCTTCTTTAAACAAAAATTTGGAACTTAAAATCGAAAATAGCTACTATTATTTAAATTTTTTTTCCATTTAAAAATCACCTTGTACATCTATATGTATATTCTTTTATGTTAAAGAATACTTAAGAGAATACCCTTCATGGCAAGTATTGAGAAAGTAATTTCAGTAAACTATGACCTTTAAAATGCTAATTTTTTTTAAAAAAAGTATCAAAAAGTAAATAAATTATCAGACTGCAATTTATTTGTAATTTTGAAACTTTGAAAACATTTTGCAGCATCTGAAACTGCGTGATTCTGTCTAGCGTTGCTTGAACTTACTTTTCTTTAAACTTCAAATTTGAAAGTACATATGGTGATGAAACAGAATTTTGCATGTAAAGTTTCTCACTCAATATTGCACAAGGTGCATAGCTTTTTTAAAAAGTGCTTGAAGGTGCTTATTTTTGATTTACTTTTTCTAAAAGCCCTTTAAAGGTGCTTTTTTTATTGGGGGTTTGTAGAAAGTGCTTAATTTTCTATTTTTCAAAATGAGGTTTTCTCTTTGCCGTGTCGATTGCCGTCATAAATTAAGAAAAAAAGCATGATTTTCACAATTTTCTCTTCAATGTTTATCCGAAATTAGTTATTTTGTCATGATTATGTAAAGTCTTTGAAAATGTTTTTGCATTTTGTTGATTTTATGTTTATAAATTAGGAATTTCAAACAAACAAAAGAAATCATTTTTATTACTGCACATATCCTATTCATATATATATATTTTTTTAAGAAAGCGATTGAAAATATTTTTTGAGTGCTTAAAAAGTTCTTTATTTTTTATTGAAAAATCTGGCTACTGTTACAGTCAATTTAAAGATAAAACATACTGCACAACATTTTATTTATCTTCTCTGTATGTTGTAATTTTATCTATTTTTGCAGGCTTCAAGAAATTTTAAGCTTGTCTTCCTGCATAAGTGACCCAAGTGCTGCATTCATTCATGGCATCATCGAACCATTGTCTAGTTTGAGATCTCGAAATAGGATTCCCAATGCAACGTGTCTATTGATTGTGGATGGTCTGAATGAAGCAGAATACCATAGACCTGATTATGGTGATACCATTGCCTCATTTCTAACCCACCATTTTGAGGTCATTCCTTCATGGCTAAAGGTGTGTAGATCATGAATCTATAACTAATAATGCATACCTGTAATATGTATACAATGGGAACTTATTGCACTAAGAATTGCTATTTTGAATTCATGTTCTAGTTGTAAAATATCAAACCTAAATGAAAATAGAATTTAGCACTAATAAATGGTACACGGCGAACAAAAGTTATCTTTTGCAGAAAAGAAATTACACATAATATTTTAAATATTTTGTGTGTAATAACAAATAAAAAAATAAGTAAAAGCCTTCTTTAGTTCTAATTTTCAGAAACTATGGTTTCCAAATACCTGGGTCCTACGTATTAAAAACAAAGAGTCCTGGTGTGGATTGATCGTAAAGATGTGGTTATATATATATATTAACAATTTTATTCAAAAAAGTGTGCACGTGCTTTCCCTGTAAACGAAATCACTGACTCTACTAATCTTAGCAAAAGCTAAAAAAAATTTAACTTTTGTGTGAATCACGTTTTTCTATCTAGATTGTTAACGTTTTATATTTTTTATAATATTACATTAAAAAGTCACTGTGAAACTAATTATTTTCTTATTATTTTGTACACTGATTTTGTATATTGTGATAAATTGCATAATTTAAAGATTTTTTTTCTTCTTTTAGGTTGTTGTCACTATACGCACTAGTTTTAGTGATCTCATCAAACGATTACCTACTCACTGCATCTCACTGGATAAAGTTCCGACCAATGAAAATATCCAGAAAGATCTATGCAATTATGTGATGCATAGAATTAACACCAGTCCTTTGATTCGTGCCAATATCACCATAAACAATAGCAAAGTAGAAGGAATAGCTAACTCAAAGTATGCTAATATCTTTCACAATCCCAAGCTATTCAAAAAATCTACTTATAACCTTTTTTTTATGATTATGAATTTAACTATTTTAAATTAATTTATTTTAATTCAACTACTTTCATATTTGCACGTATCATTTCCGTACTTTTCTTTCCTCTTAGTTTTAACACTCGAAGCGTTTTTTGGGTAGGAAATCGTGATGAAATTTCCTTGCCATGCTCTTCTTTCTATTAAATAACATGAGAAAAATTGATATTTTGGCTCCGGTTAACTACAAGCTTTCATGTTTTAAAAAAGCTAGAACTAACATTCACAGTGCTAATTAAAAATTTAAAGTTAATTAATGACATTCAAAAAAAAACCAGTGGAATTACTAATTTTGGTGTATTTTTCATTTACTGTAAATTTAATTATAAAATGCTCTACTTCTTAATTATTGGAAACATTTTTAAAAAGCTGGCTTATTTTTATTATTTTTCTTAAAGTAATTGGTAAAAAATTTTTTTATATGCCTGAAAAAAAAGTCCTGTCTTATCATTGAGATTGTTAAAGTAGAAGTAAAATTTTTTTTCTCTCTATTAATTTTATATCCAAAAGTTAAAACATCTTTTAAAATTGAACTTTAATTTCATTGATAAAATATTTCAATCTTTTTAATCTAGGTTTGCTGCTCACCTGTCCAATCTCAGTAAAGGTTGTATGCTGTATATACGTTTGACATTAGATCTGATTGAAAGGGGTCACCTTGTGGTCAAGAGTAGCAGCTATCGTGTCCTTCCTGTCTGCCTTAGTGAAGTCTACATGTTAAGTTTTAATCTGAAATTTACTACAATTAAATCATATGAAAAGGTACATAATAACAAAAAAAAATTTTTTTCCTTTATTATGTTAAATTCTCGGTAGATTATTTTAAATGTGTGATTTTACACATGTTTTTGGAAAAAAATTTGTTTAGTTGCATTTTTGAATTTATGTTGCATCTATGCTGTCTGTTTTCAAGAATAAAACAGACAACATCAAGGATGTTTGAGTTTAATGGAATCTCAATTTTCCCTAACAAATGTGATTTTTAACCAAATTACGCTGTCTTTGTTGGGCTTTTTTTTAAAAATATCTTTTTGAGATAGCTTTGCTAGACAGCTTTCCTATTGATTTTTAATCTTCAATTACTTTAAATTTACAAAAACAATGTGTCCAAATTAAAGTAACTGGAAGTTAAAAAATCAGAATTAAATTTTTGATAGGTAGGGAAAACTGTAGCAATACAAGAGATTCTCGCAGTAATTTAGTCTGTGGCAAAGATATTATTTAAAAAAAACTCTTTAATATTAACTCCACAGTTCCTCAAATGCGTTTTCTTCCTTTCCTTATCATACCAGAAATGAATTGCTGATGGTGATTTTAACAAACTAATATCTACACAGGGAACTGTTGTACCTGAGATGTTTGAATAAGTAAACTAGGCTTGACTCTACTCCATAGATATTTTTTCAATAAAGAATAACTTATTATTAAATAAGAATAAATATATTATTTTGATTGCTTTCCAAGGTCCTCTTTTAGCATAAATTTTTTTTTCGCACTTAATTTTGAAATCTAGAAAATTTTTCTTAAGTCATCATATTTATTCCTTTAAGAAACTCTAAAAGATAGGATCTATTTAAATGAAAGGATTATGTAATTTGTGGTTAAAGATATTTAGTGTGAGCAATTATAACATGATTTAAAAATTGTTGATTCTGTTATTATTAGCTGTAAAATAACAAACAATATAAAGCATCAATTATGCCCCTTAAATTCGTTTCGTCATCATTTTTGGCACAACAGCCCATTGTGGGCCTATTGTTGAAGATTGAATAACTTATTTTTGTTCATGGACTGTCAGTGTTTTGTCCAGATTACTTTGAAATTTAATTTCACAGAGTCAAATCACCATTGTTCTGGCTTTCCTCTTTTTTGACTATTAATAGGTTTTAACACACAATTTTCTTTATTAGATTTTTTCCTTCTTTAGATTCTTTTCTTTATTACAATTTTCTTTATTAAAAAGTAAAATTAAAAGAATGAAATAGGAAACTCATATTTTCAGAATAAATTTCTGAAAATATGAGTTTCCTATTTTATTCTTTTAATTTTATTTCTTTTGATGATGTCAGGCTCTTAAAAAATTCCATACGTTTCTTAGCCAAATTATTTTTGGTAAAGGCCATTAGTGAATTTGTTTCTACCTTATTGATTTTATGATTTTCCACATAATTGTTTTATTTGTCGTAAATATTATAATGTCTTACATCTTTCATTTCTTCTGTAGGTTATTCCCATTCTTCAAATTTGTCTTGCCTCTCTTTATCCTTTAACTCTTCAAGAGCTTTTTTATACTTTAAATGCTAAGTGCGTGAGTGAGGGTATATCTTGGGACTCTTTCATGGGCTGCATGGATATACTCATATCCAATCAATTCATAGTGAAAAGACAGGACAGTACAATCATGTTTGTACATCCATCCATGAGGGAATGGCTACTCAGGAGGGAAGAGAACGAAAGCAACAAGTTCCTGTGTGATGTCCGGTATGTATCAGTTAGAATTTTTTCCCCATTTTATCAGTAGTCAGTTAAATTGCAGAATTTATCAGTTAGATTGCATTATGTATCAATGAATCAGTAAATAGCATGTTATTATGAACAAAATTTTTTATATTCTATCAAGTATATTGCTCGGGATGAATATTCATTTGCATAAAATAATTGCTTAATGCCTGATAATAAAATTATGGTGCTGTGTGTGGTATGTTTTAATGAACAAATATCTTCTATTTTATCAATAATCATTTAAATTGCAAATTGTATCAATCAGTTAAATTGCATTACTTTCGGCAAATTAAATATTGTGATGACCTTAAATGTTAATTTCCTATTAATTATATTGCTGGGGATGAACATTCGCTCAAAATATGTAATCAAAGTCTTATTATATTCAAATTATAAAAATGTTCCATCTAAAGAAAATTTTTGAAAAGAAGGATTTTTAGTATATTTAGTATTCCTTTCCTATAAGCAATCTTAAATTCTAATTAAACCTTAGTAAATTATACCAAGTAGTAATTGTATCCATGTAGAGTTTGCTTTTTATACTGTCGCAGCTTATAATTTTAAAATTAAAGTGCTCCAGTAATAGTCTGTTATTAGCCGAAATGGTTGTGGGATTAAAGGTCAACAATTTTGAGACTATCTGCATGACTTTGGCAATGTGGTTGACAATGTTCAATGGCTGCCTTTTTTTTAAGATAAATTGGTATCCACTAGTCTAAAGCTGAATGAGCAAACATTAAACCCTGGGCCTAAACAATGACAGCTCATTGCCTTTAGAGAACCTTATATTAGGGGAGACACTTTTAATAGCAAATTCTGTATTTTAAGGAGCAAAGTGAGTTCAGATAAACCTAGAGTTAAACCATGAATTTTTAAATGCTTAAGTAATGCAAACAAATGGCAGAATAATTTCACTGTTTAATTCTGAGTTATTTTGCAATAATTTATTTACATTCTTGTATTTGGCAACAAGAAAAATAAATTTTAAATCTTTAAATGCTTACCGGAATTTACTTTTTTCCATATTTTAAATTACTTTAGTAAGATGAAAAAGAATTTGCCATAAACGGTGTCTCCTACAGTATTGCAATGTTTTTAAGTATGCTATTGAGGCTCAAAGCCATTATTTATAAATAATAGTAATTAAGCACTCAGCAAAAATAATAAAATTTATTGTAAACAATAATTTAGAGCAGTGAGTGCTAAATTTTAAATACATGGCAACAATATTAGAATTTCTTTTACAAATTCGATTTGTTTTCAGAATTTAGTGACACTTAGTCCAAGAAGATTTTATCTTTGAAAATAAAAACTTATTTAAAATTATAAAATAAATTTGATAAAGGAAATATACTCTAAGGATTTGAAATGAAAGTTTTATGTTTTATTTCAGTGGGGGACATGCGGCAATTGCTTTTCGAATCAGCCGTGCAAAGACAGCAAAAACAGCTGATGACTGTTTAGAGCTAGGTCATCATGTGTTGAAAGCTCACATCTACAAAAACTCTCCTCAAGACATTCTGCATACGTGCTTGCCGAGAGACCTTCAAGCGTACTGGCTACAGCTTTCCAGTAGTTGCATACAGTCTGGCTTGGGATCCATTAGAAATTTATACAGCCCAAATGTTAAAGTAAGCACAAAATATTCTTTCTGATACAAATGCTTTGACCCACATGAGAATTTTATACTTTTTTGTACTTTACAAACTTTTGATGACATAGTATTCGACGGCACAATACCTTTTATAAAATCTTGAGAAAAAAGGAGTTACTCGATTAGATAAGAATAAATAGCACTTTAATTTTTAAAATTTATATTTTCGCTAAAGAGTCCTCTACTTTCGCCATCTTGGATTTTAGATTAACTTTTTAATTTATATTTTTTTGCTTCTATTAATACTTAACAAACTTTCGATGACGTAATATTATTAGACAGCACATTTCTACCTTTCAAAAAGGTAGAAAATAAAACGGTCGCTTTATTAAATTAAGAGAAATGGCACTTAATAATTTTTAGAACTTCTATTAGTTTTTCCTCAAAACCTTAAAGTAATAAAATAGCGCCATTCATGAGTTTGAGAAAATAATTTAAAAGTACACGGCTTTTTTTAGATTTTTTAAAATTTTTTTCTATAACAGTTTAAATTGAGGAAACATGATTTGGATGACATTAAGAAATTCTTTAAACATTAATTACATAAAAGCAAAGATATTTGTCATCCAAAATCGAAAAAATAGGCAACCGTATACTATTTAAACGACCTTAAGTTCATTGAATTTTCAATATTTTAAAGTTATAGGCTGAGTCCCTTAAAATTAAAAACCAGAAAAGTTGAATTTAAAATAAATACTTAATCCTCATTCATCATCACAACTGTCACAAACCATGCAATAAAACTAGTTGCAAATGTTTTACTTTTATCTATAATAACGGTTGTCCAAGCAAAAACTGTGAATTTAAACTTTCAAATGCTGAAAAAAATTACTGAAGAGCATAGTCTGCATGACTTTGGATTTTTGGCTCTCATTGATATTTTAAAGAAGTCACATTTAAAAATAAATGTAATTATTGCAGGTGAGTCGATTGTTGTTGTTAGCTGGTGCTGATCCTAACTATAGAATCCAGTTGCTTTACAACATGCCAATTGTTGCTGTTGCTGCAGAACAAGGATTTTTGGAAATGGTATCCCAGTTGGTGGAATTTGGGGCAAACGTAAATGCTACTTCAAACAAAGGACTTGGTGCACTAGCTTTAGCTTCTGGTAAAGGATTTATTGATATTGTTAGGCTTCTCACTGCAAATGGTGCAAAGGTATGTATTTGTTCAAAATTTCCAAGTAAATAAAATTTCCTTTTTCTTATTATATATAATGTGCATATTTAGACATTATTTTGCATTTTAATTTTTTATCTGTGAAACCTCTGCTGCAGCAATATGTGAAAGAATTTTTGAGTTTTTTTATTGTTTACATTTATTAAGATCTAGTCCTTTCCAATCCGGTGTATTGAAACAGGAATGTCTGAGACTAAAATTTTTATCATATTTATTGTTTGAAGAAGCGTTTTAACTACATATTTGTACATCTAAAAATTATCTTGGTCATATTTTATTTATTTTTCTTAATTTTTCTTGCTTGCTAAATTCAAAACTGTTCAAGGAATGGAGAGGAATTTAAATAATTTTGTTCTACACGAAAAACAATGCATGATTGATGATATTTTAAAAATTCTGATTGTTTTGAATCGGCAATTCAGATGCAATGCATAGATACCAGACTGTATTGTAAATAGTTATGCATATTTAAAATTTAGTTTGTATTCTGGCACTTAAGAGTTTTTCATTTATTTATTTTTATAGAACCCTGAAAAAGCTTTTCAATTAAACTTAAAATTATTTTATCTCTTTTTATTTAGTTTTATACTTTATATTAATTTTTTAGAATATTTTTTAGTTAAATTTGAAATTTATTATCGTAATATAATTTTTAATGATACTTTTAAGAAATCCATATTTATGTAACTATGTATACTTTTATCTCATTTGATATGTTTTATTTAATGAAAGAATAAATAACCTAACATTTACTTTTGCTTCATGCATAATAAAAATTTTGGAAAATAATTCTTGTGGTATTGCAGTGAAGAAATGATGTGCACATGTTTTTATTTTGTAGACATAAAATTTAAAAAAAAATATTCCTATAGAATTATCTTTCAACGAGCTGTGCAAATTCTCCATCGTTTTTCTATTTTTTATTATTCTCAGAATATTTAATTCATGTAAATAGGATAGCATAGCATTTTGGCTTAAGTTTAAAGATAAGGCTTGAAAATAATTTATATCAATATTTTTTGAATTTATTGTTATTACTATTTTTAGATTAATCAAGTTGATCATGATGGAAAATGCCCTGTTATTTATGCAGCTACTAAAGGACACCTAGATATCATTATGCATTTATTTCAAAGTGATTGGCCATTGGATGATAAAACCGCACCAAGTTTTTCGGAGGCTGCTCAATCATGTCTAGTTACTTCAGCACTCAATGGTCATGCAAATGTAAGTTCTCGAGGATAAAGTTATTAATTTTGTTATGAATGATAACCTGATTGTGTACAGATCTGTTAATAATTCTGATAGCATTTTGGAGATTAGCAATGATTAAGGGCTTGTTTTCCACCTATACAAAGCAAATTTTTACTATAAGAATGTTTTCTAAGTCCTTGAGGAATAAATACATTTAAATATTGTAACTATGGCTATTCAAATGAGTAGTTCATCCATTTTTTTTAATCCTATATGTTTTTAAAATGTCATAGTTATTAAAGTGTCCACCTCTTCATCCTCTAAGATTTATGAGATGAAATTTTTGGTAAATTAATTGCATTAAAATAATTAATATTAATTACAAATTAATTCGAGCAATAATTATAAGAGAACCACAATTGCTCAATGCTTAAGGTACTGAGCTGTCACTTGGAAAGGTCGGAGTAGTCTTCAGTACCTTAGAATCTTAAGGGGTAAAAAAGGGGTAAGAGTTGTGTGCAGTCTTCTTTATCCAAAGTTTTTAGTAAGTTAATTGCATTAATAATTAATATTAATTCAAGAATTAAATCAAGCAATAATTCTTGCACAACCACAATAGCTCAGTGGTTAAGGCACAGAACTGCCTCTGGGAAAGTCTGGAGTTCCGTCTTCAGTGACAACTTGAAGCCCTTCTAGCTTGAAATTGATGGATACCTGCTTATCTGAGAAGTTGGAAGGGTAAAGTGCAATGCTGTCCATTGCTACATCACGCAATTGTGAAGTAATAGGAAATAAATAGGACTTTCGTATAATTATCCGTGATTTAAAATTACTGTAGAAAAATCTTACTCTAAAGGTGCAATCTAAAGGTGCATTGGCACCTTTTAAACCTTTATGAGGACATGTTGTTCAACAAACAATGAAGTCGGATATTAATTTTTAAAATTGTTTTGGTATATAATTTTTAATCCATGTAGCAGTTTAATGAATAATATAAATTTAATATTCTTTAGGTTTGTGAGTTTCTTTTGGACATGCCGGAAGTAAATATCAGTGGCCTGGATGCACTGACTGGCCACTCTGCACTGACTGCCGCAAGCTCTTCAGGTCATTTGCAAGTGTGTAGTGTCCTATTGAGGCGCGGGGCCTCAGTTTCCTCTACAAATCAACAGAAGGACACTCCCCTGTTATGTGCTGCTTCTGAGGGACACTGGGAAGTGGCCGAAAAACTCATGATGCATGGAGCATCCATTGAAGAGACTGATTCATTGGGTAGAACTCCATTAATGATGGCTGCCATTGGTGGACACCCAGTTCTTGAGCTGTTGTTATCTAAAGGTTTCTAATTGTTTAATTTTTTAGCTATAAATAATTTCTTGTAAAAGTTTTGGCCGCATTTTTAATTTTTTATCTATAAATAATTTCCTGTAAAATTTTGGCCACATTTGTGATTTCTTAGCTATAAATAATCTCCTGTAAGTTTTGGCTGCATTTTTTTAACTCACCTAAATAATGTAAGAGGGAATAAAAATTATCTTAGCTGAATTTTAGTTTTCTTTAAGGCTGCTATCATGTGATAGGTTGATATGATATAGAGAAAAAAAAAATTTTTTTTGCTAAAATTTTGTATTTTAAAAACTGATTTCAGTAACGTAATAAACAGGGGAAAATATTTTTGCTACATTTTATTTTAAACTGCTCTCAGTAATGTTGCAGGTATTAAAAAAATCATTTTAGCAACATTTTAATTTTCTTTGAAACTGTACTGGAAACTTGTTTTAAAATAATAAGTAGCAATTATTATTTTGTTTGAAACTCTCTTAAATGAAGTTATTTGTTTAAATTGATCTCATTATTATTTTAACGCATTGCTTTGTGAAAAAATATTTAAAGCAATGAAAACCGTTATAAAAGTAAAAAAGTCATTAAATTTCTAACAAGTACTATGAAAAGTATCAATACCTTTTAACAATTTTATATCCTTGCCTATAAAAAATACTATAAAAAAAGTATTGATCAAACAAGTGCTATGAAGAGTATCAATACTTTTTTGTAATTTTACAGCCTGGCATTGTTTACTATTAAAAAAAATAATAATTTTGCCTCCTATTTTTTACTTTTTTAACATTATCTTGTATTTTTTCATTGATTATTAAATAAGTGACATAATTTTTTTTATCAATATAAATAATATTTCCATTTTTTTCATTTCTAATTGACTTTTAATTTATTAATCCTAGTGTTAATTTACAATGGTGATAATTTTATTTTGTAAAGAGCCATATGTTCCTTACCCAATAAAACTTATATTCAGCCACTTAATCAGACTTGTTTTTCTGATAACCTCACATTTTAGAAAGAAAATTTAGTTTGATTCAGAGCAAAAATTGTAGTTCTAGTGCATTTTCTTTTAGTGTTTTTATACATTGTGGAACTAATATTTGACTAAACTTTTTATTCAAACTAAAATTTTAGCTCATAATATTTTTTCTGAAAATAAGTGCAAACTTTTTATCTTAAAATCATTAATACTGAAAATTTAAATTGTTGCAGGCGCAGCTTCTGAAGTCACTGATCGTGATGGTATGACTGCACTGAGTTGGGCTTGCCTTAAAGGTCACTATCAAGCTGTTCAGTGTTTACTAAGACATGGATTTGCAGTGAACCTTGCTGATAGAAGTGGCCGAACACCACTGGATTTTGCTGCTTATAACGGAGATCCTGAAATAGTATGTATTCTCTCCTCGATATTTCAAATACAAACTATACTTCAATTGAAGCTCTTGTTCCAAGATAGTGATAAGCCAAATTTTTACAAAAGTAGTATTTTAACATCAAAATGTTCCTTGATATAGGTATCTGATGTGTGCTTCATAAGCTTTGAGAATTTTTACTGGATGGCGATGCGATACCATCATATTTTACTGTCTACATATGAGATCGTAGTTTTCTTCATTAAAAAAGCTTTGTGCAATTTAATGTAAAATGTGGCTTATCGTTATATTGCTAGTACTTCAATGTTGTGTGCTAAGGTTATTAAAAATAACACGGCAATAAATTAATATCAGATATGCAAAGAAATTTATGTTTCTGGATTTGGTAGACCATTTCTGTTAGATTATTGGGCTCTTTAAAATTTTATAAATAGCCAAACCACAACAGCTGAAGTGTATTTGCCCTTGTTGCAAAGTAATGTAAGATTTTTAAATATTTATTGCCATGAATTTAATTTGACTTCATTTTTCTCTCTCATTTTTTAGGTTCAATTATTGTTGGATTCAGGTGCATCTATGGAAAATGTTGATTCAACTGGAATGAAACCACTTGACAGAGCAGTTGGTTGTAAAAATGCTGCCGCGGTTGTCAGATTCTTACATAAAGGGGCAAAACTTGGTAAGTGCTGATTTTTTTCTATTAAAACTTCATCTTGATAAGTTTGTTTTCTTAAATTATTTTATTTATTGAACATATAGCATCTTGGACTGCTTTATTTTTTGAAATAAAGTTGCCTCATAAAAAGAGGGGCTTGGGACAATATATTGATTATCCAAATTGTAATGTTGTTCAAAAGAGTGTTCTATGTAAGTAATCTCCCTGTGTAACTAGCCTGTTATTTTGTGGGAAATCTAAAGGGTAATTTACTGGAAACAATACTAAAGAACAGTTTGACGTAAAAATGTGCTTATTTCTGTATTGTCGAGCCCTTTACTTGTGATTTGTTAAGCTGTTGATATTTTGAAACAAGTAAACTTTTACTAAACTAAATGTATATAACTTTATTCAAAATTTAATTTGACCTTCGATTGTGATTCCCCGTTATCATCAATAATGTTGCTAATGGTATAATAATGTTAAAAATAGTGTTGTGCTAGTTTGAAATATTATTAATTTTAATAAGATTGATAATTAGTATTTAGAGCTAGATCAGGAGTGATTTATTTCTTGTGAACACCGTAATTCCAGGTTTTCGACTCATTCTTCTTTGTTTAAAAACCAAGAGCAGGTCATGTGGTTTTTAGGTGAATATTCCAGAATTTCGTCAATCAAAAACTTATAATCTGGCAAAATTTTGAAGCTTTTGGTGAAGCCCTTAAACGATACGTTTACTTACATTCTTCCTCTAATTAGATTATTTTTGTTTGGCAGATTTTGACCATTTCGAATGTTTGAAACTGTACCAGAATCTGCTGGCATTGCAATTCTCATTCAAGCGATTTTAATATCAAACATCAATTTTCGTATTTACCTGATTTAAAAGTTGTGCGTTGCTATTCGTATTTACGAGATTTAAAAATTGTATATTGCAATCCCTATCCACGTGATTTAAAATTCCAATATCGCGATTCCTATTCATACATTGTTAAAATCCGATATTGCAATTTGTTTTTACGCGTTTGTGATATCAGACATTGATTTTTTGCATTTATATACGAATTAACCTGCCATTACGATTCATATTCACGCAATCTAAAAATCATGCACCTTGATTGGTTTTTCGAGTTTTTAAAATCCAATATATTGAGATACTTATTCGCAGGATTTTTCTAAGGAGTAAGCTTTTCTTAAATTAGTTACTATAAAGGTGTAATATTCTACATTACTGCGTAATTTAATAATAAATGCTAGTCCAAAAAGTAATGTTAAATATGAAACATATAATGGTATTGATATTTTGTATATGAAATTTTATTTTCACTTTGTGTCCTAATCACTCCCTGCTAGATAAAGAAAACTAAATTGCTAATTATTATTATTTCTTTGTTTCGCTAGTGTTCACTAGAAACTCCCTTTTTTTTGCTAGTGTTATTTTACTTCTTTTAAATGTTAATTTTCTATGTGGGCTATTTAGTGTTTATCTACTTTATAATCTCAAAATATGTGTTTTGTACTTTTAGGCTCCAAAACATGGACAATGGCTGAAGGAAATCCAGAAATTCTTGCTTTGCTTTTCTCTAAGCTTCTTGAGGATGCCACTGTCTTGTGCAAAGTAAGTCAACTTAAATGAAAGAAACTAGTTGAAACAATTTGTTTGTCTTAAACTTATAAGAGTCGTGGGAAGATAAAGAGTTTCCCTTTTATTTAATTTTTTGTTCTAATATTCTATATAATTTTTTTTTCTAATATTTCTACAAACAGTTTATTAGTGAATTTCTATGAGGTTTTGGAACTTTTTGCCTATGTTTGCTAGTATAACAATATCTACTTAATCTAATATCTACTTATATTTAAAAATAATAAATCGTTATTAAAATTATTTCTCTTTTGGAAATAAAATTAAATCCTTGGAAGTGCATTAAATTAATTTTCTTCCGTAGTATTTTATAATCAGTATTAAGCTAAAATATCATCTAAAGGTGCATCTATCTCTGAAAAGAGTTATTGTTTGTGCACTTCAGTACACTGAGACTCTGTTGATTTGATTTACACCAAATTTCAATATTTTTACCAAAAATCTTTCTTTTCTTTTTTTTTTTTCTTTTTAAAAGATTCTTTATTTACAATTCCGATAAGTATTTTGTAATATATTTTATGTATTGAAATAACTCTTAACTAAAAAATTAATAATAAAATTTATGTAACCAAATTCAAAAATCAGGGATATTCGATAAAAATATGGAAAAAATCAAGGATTTTTGCCCCTTAAATAAAAAAATTTTTGTAACATTTGTTTTGCAGAGGGGACGTTTGAAAGATGCCACCCACAGGTATCAGTACGCCCTGAAGAAGTTCCAGATGGAAAGTGAGGTAGAAAGAGATCCTAGATTTGTCAAAATAAAGTATCAACTTCTTTTAGGCTTGTCACGTTGTAGGAGAAAAATGGACGTAAGTTTAGTTTGCCTCTTACATATTGTCTGTATACATGATGTAATTTCTTTTTTAAATACTAATTTGAAAATTTAAAGTAGGCTATAGTCTTATTTTTGTCTCAATTTGTAAATTTTTTTTTTTCAATTTGAATGTTTTTAAATTATTGTTCTCCACATAGTTTCTATTTTGATTGAACAGATCATTATAAATGATTACCTTGTAACTCTTAACGCCAGTAAAGCTCATGAGGCCACAGTCAGTGCGATCTCTCTGGCAGCATTCCAACACTGCCAATTAAATTGGTTTCCCACATTGGTAGTCATACTTCGCCTATGTTGTTCTCGGGCCTATTTCTCTTCCTCTTTCCATATGGTGACCTGGTTAATACGATACCATTGTTCTCTTTGGCATGTTTTCTCAATTTGATGCTGATTCATTTCTCCATCCTCTTCTTTTTTACATCTGTTGTTATTGGCTTGGTACTGTATTTACGGTATCCATGTTACTTATTTTGTTCGGTCAGTAAATTTTCAATATTTATTTAAATATCTTGTTTGAAAGGCATCTATTTTGCTTTCCTGCTGCTTTCTTAGCTTTTAAAGTTTCTCTGCCATCTAATAAAACAGATTTTACTGTTCATTGAATATTTGTATTTTTAATTTTATGATCAAACGTTGTGATTTACATACCTGGAAAAGCGTTCTGAAAGTGTTTTTTTTATCCGGCTCCTATCATTGTCGTCAATACAACCATGAGTAGTACTAATGATTACTTTAAGATATGTAAAGGTATTTGTCTGTATAATTTGCTTCAAATCGACAAATAATTTGTTATAAGTCTTACTGTTTAATTTCATCACTTTTGTGTTTCATTCTGTAAGGACTCATTTTTTAGGTAGTTGGTAGATAAGCGAAATACACAATCTTCCTTCAGAGCATCCAAAGCCTTTTTTTTTTTACTCTGTGAAATTTTTTTTATCTTTTAAAGTTATGCAGTGATGACTCAGGGGATAGAGCGTTATCCTTCCAATGAGGTGAACCAGGTTCGAATCCTAGCGATGGCTGGTCAATAAGAATTCTGCATCCAGCTCGCACCGACCGCAGTGCTGACATAAAATATCTTCAGTAGTAGACAGATTATGGGTTAGATTCTCCTTTCCGTCAGGCTAACCATTAGATGTTTTTGTGGTTTTCCTCTTCATGTAACATGAGTTAGTTCCATTAGAAAGTCCCGCACTAAAGGAAATTTCTCCCAATACTTGATCCAGAAGTTCTTTTGTCTTCTAAATTAGGACCAAAATTACAAGGCTTTGATGTTGAACATTAGTAGTTGTAAACCTAAAAAATTGTGTTGGCTGTTCAACAACTGCTCTAAAATAAAATGAAATCTTTTAAAGTTGCAATAAATTTCTTACTGCTGTTGATAAGTGATTTTTTTTTGTATTATGTAATAAAAACTAAATGGGAAAAATATTAGTTTCAAGTGGTTTTATGAGTTTTGAGATAATATTTAATCAAATCCACTTTAGAGTATTTTTCGTACAGGAAAACTTGTCACTACTTAGATATTAGGATTTAAATAATTTACTTAATGAAATTTTTTTTCCTAAAGTGATATGTTTATTTTGAACCATTTAAGTCTGAGTACATCTGATTTTTGATTAAAATGAAAAGTTTTTAATAGTATTCTTGTAAATTTATTTTTGAAAAAATGTAAACCTTTTTTATTTCTACTTATTTTATTGTTTTTATATTCATTGTGTTAATCTATAAAAAGTTTTAGATTGATGCACCATAATTTTTTATTTTTATTTGAAGGAACCTAAACTTGCTGTTGAAGCAGCTGAACAAGCCATTTCTTTGAAACCCCAATCATTTGAAGGATACTATGCAAGAGGAAGAGCACATGAAGCACTTGGGTAAGTTTTTTTTCTAATTCTTGCTGCAAATTTCCTATTAAAAAAGTATTGAAATGCTCTTTTTTGAAGAAAAAATTGAAGATGAGTGAAGAAAATATTTCGGTCACCATGTTAAATTTTTTTTGTTTGTTTATTTTTTAGCGAATCATGGTAAATATTTTTATTTTAGTTACGTTTATAATCAAGACCGCAAAAATAATACAGTCTCCGCTCTTTATTACGACCCCCCCACCATTAACACGACCTTTAAATTATAATGACTGCTACCTGAATTCCTGTTTGCCGTTACATAGATGCAATGTTATTTTTACTTCCATTAGAAGGCCAAACTGAACATTATAGCAACATAATTTTCTCTCTCTTTTTTTTCATTTAATTTCCTGAAAATCACTCCGAAACCGAGGTTAGACATTGTTGTGCTTTCAAAATTAACATTTTCCCATTGATAATGAGTCAATCCATACCAAAAGTCTCAAGAAAACTATTAAAACCACTATATTTTTTGATGTTACCACTCCATAAACATGAAGCATCTGAACAAAGAAAGAAGGGCAGAACCTTTCATTCAAAAGAATTGTGAAATAATTTTGATCAAAAGAATGTAATCAAAAGAATTGTGAAATATCAATTACTTACTATTATTGATAATTTGAAGTATGTATTACACCATCATTTAAAAATTTGAGTTTATTAATAGTCATAACCTCTAAAAATTTCATTCCAAAGTGTTTAATATATTCACCAATCATATTTTCCTCGTCAGAAAATAGTATTCTCTATTTCTTTGAAGTGTTGTAAGAGGTGTTTTATTTTGGAATTAAAGCATGTGGTATTATTTGCTTTTTCTTCTTGAATTTATTTTTATTTGATGTTTATTTTATTTTATGAAAGTGGTTCCTCCTAGCCACTGTAAAGCTATATGCTTAAAGAGGAAATGTAAAATTTTAGAGTAACATCAAAATCTCAAATACCTGAATTATTCAAGATCCCGAAAAGCACCTTGTTTACAATAATGAAAAATCCTGATGTAATTCTAAAGGCTAAAGAACAAAATGTTATAATTTCATGACAAGGTTATTGTAAAACAAAATTTTAAGATCTTGGAAACGGCTCATTGACTGACTTAAGTTTATGTGCAATATTAAAAGATATAATTTGAAAAATTGTAATGTATTTTTATCCTTTAATTTACTATACAAAATATTACTTCAACTTTATTAACAAAGGAACTGTGTGCTAATCAGTTTCAAAATTCTATTTCAGTTGTAGTATATTTTTGTCGAATAGTGGTCGAAATAAGTGCAGTATTTACATGAAATACGTAAATATATTCCCTAATTTTATATAGTCGCTTTTAGCTATCTTACATTATAACATCTGTTTTTATTTAGTAATTTTATTATATCAAGCTTACGCTGTATAACATTCCTTGAATAGGTAAAGGTGTATTCATACAGTCTGTAGCAGTGGATGACAATTTTTTTTATTTTTCAAATGGGTCGTTTTTAAATTTTTTCACTAATGGGTCACCTACCTTTTATTTTAAATCACTCATTATCTCAGAATACAGGAAATAAAAACATTATGCAAATGAGATAATTCATTATGCTTTGAATATAATGCCTGGTTGACCAACACGTCTTAAGTTGTGACCACTTTTCTACATTAGTATTTGTATTGGTCATTAAAATAGGGAACAGCAACTTTTCCATTATTGTAATGATCGTGCTAATCCATAGATGACATTAATTTTGTTACGGATTAATTTTAATTTAGCATATTTATAACCTGGTAAGCATATGTATTGCCTGCTTAATTTAAGTGGTATCTCAGTTACGGTTTCATTAGTTTTTTAGGAGCATTCTTTTTTAAAATTTGCAGACTCATTTAATTGCTAATTGTTTCAGATTCAATGAAAATGCCTTATCGGATATCCTGGAAGCGTTGAGGTATGCACCACAAAACCAGGAAATGAAGCGTGCCCTGATGAGGTTAAAAGAACAAATCTCAAATTCATCATCTGCACCCCAAAATAATTACAATGATGACAGCACTCTTGGATTCAGGTGAATATCTTTGAAAAACCCACTTTAAAATCTGAAACATCCCCTCAATTCTTTAAAAATTATATTTATTGTTATTTGATTTCATTATATAACCGGCATAAAACAGTTCACCCAAATCTGAGTGTACCAGTACAAATATTTAACTCTGTAGCTGTGTGTTTTTGAACTTAACCCAGAAGACTGAGGATCTTCTGGACCAAGCAATGAGACAAAATAGCCTTTTTGATGGAAGTAACCCGAATTTGCGTTAAATGGACCTCCCCTAGTTTGCCTGATATCACAGAGATTCAAACCCGTGATCTGTCTACCACTGAGGATATTTAACGTCAGCACAGTGGTTGGTGCAAGGTAGGAGAAGAGTTCAAATCAATTAACCACTGTTGTGATTTGTACTGGGGTCAACTCATTGGGAGGGGAACACTCTACCCCCTAAGTCGCCACAGCTCACTAATTTAATTTCGGAAAATTCCACGCTAATTTCTGAAGAAAACATTATTCCACTAGCAAAATGCTCTAAGAACATGGTGGCCATCCAGCTAGAAAACCTTGTATATCACTATCATGAAATTGTTTTTGGCATTATCATGAAATTTTTTTTACTGGAAAAAACCTGAGAAATTCAGGGATTTTTGGATAAAAGACTGGGAAAATCACAGAATTTTAAAGAAAATATGAAAATTCAAATTTTGAAACCTTTGCTAAATCGCGTTAATGAGACGTTTCCATACGCGCATTTCTGCAATTTTATTTATTTATTTATTTTTTGGTTTGTCAAATTTTTATCATTTTTAATATTTAAAATTAGGCTGGAATCTGATAATATCGCGATTCCTATTCTCGCGATTTTAATATCAAACATTGATTTTCGTATTTAACTGATTTAAAAGTTACTCACTGTGAATCGTATTCACGCGATTTAAAAATTGTACATCGCGATTCGTATTCACGTTATTTAAAAATCCATTACCTCAATTTGTTTATACAAGTTTGGGGAACCAATATCGCGACTAATATTCACGCAAGTTTAAAATCCAATGTTGCTATTCGTATTTACGTGATTCAGAAATCGAATATTGCAATATGTATTTTGGCGTTCTTAAATCCCATGTAATGATTCAAATTCATGCAATTTTTTAAATCCAATATCACTATTCTTGTAAGAACTAAATTTTTTCCTAAATTAGTCACTATAAAAGTGTGACATTCTTAATTAGTAGATAATTTAGTTATAAATCTTAGTTTAAAAAATTATATAAAATATTAATAGTAATTAAATTGGGTATCTTGTTAATGAGTTTTTGCACACTGTTCAATTGCGTGTTCGAGTTGGCAACTTTCAAGGTTTTTCACTTAGCGTCACAATCACCTCTGCATATGTTTTTCTTGCTGGTAAACTTTTGTAATTCAAGTATACTTTTATTAAGCTGATATTCTTTTATAACTCAAGTAAAATTATAATTTCTTTTTGTTCTTTTTATTTTAAACAGTGGCCCAGACACTTCCCAGCTAGATGATCTTGGCTCCACAGAAACTATTGACAGGCTGTGCAACTTGACTTTAAATCTCGTCGAAGATTTAAACCAACTTAAAGATAGAATGCAAGACAGTGGATGTGAAAGTATTCATTGATTTTTTTAGAATGAACTTGACATTTATTGCATTTAACTTCACACAGTAACTCCTGGTGCTTGCAAAGTTTATTTTCAATCAAAAACTCATCTTTTGTTCTTATTTGTAAAAATACATGTACATATTTACAGTTGTACAAGGGTTGGCTACATTTCTTCATGCAAATACTTTTAATGTGGTGATCTATAAATGTAAAATTTTCTTGAAATCCTTTTTCGAGAAGTATGTAATAAGTTATATTTATACATTCAATAAGTCTTTAATTTGTATTGCACATGTTTTATGTACAATGCACTAAATAAAAATATTTATAGTACCCTAATAACTTATGATTCAGTGATCGGATTATCACATAGTAATGTTGCTCAGTCTTTATGGTTCAAAGGTCATGACTAAAACATGCTAAATAGTTTGTGCAAATGATAATTTAACTTATTAAATTAGACTTTTTCTGGATAAACGTACTTTTTCTCCCAAGGATTTCGATATTTTTTACCCTTAAAATAAGGAGTGGTTGAAATATAGCAAAATTATTGTACCAATAGTTAAGGCGGTATACTGTCGTGCAATTGAAAAATCCACGTAAGGGACAAAAAATTCAAAATTGAGATTTTTATATATTTGGCATTATTGTAAAATTAGCTACATACTGCAAATTTTTTTTTTCAAAAATAAATTTTGCTTTAGTAGTTTTTTGAATTTCTATTTTAGCGTTCATAGCATTAGCAATGGAAGAGAAATAGTTGTTAAGCCATTTTTCTCAGAGTGAGTCGTGAAGAACTTGTGTTGCTTTTTCAATTGCACGGCAGTATTTTGATCATAACTTTAGACCCCTTAGTGCTAATTAAACATTTCGTGAATTTCGTCATATTTTTACATTTTAATTTTCAAAGAATTAGTCCTTCAATTCCCTTCATTACATTTTAGAATTACATGGATAGAGTTGGCGTAAAAATGCGCATACCTTACAATTTAAAATATTTTTGACAATTTTTAAATTTAATAATAAAATATAATTAATTATAAAATAATATTTTTTATAAAATTATCTTAGCATGAATAAGGTATTGTAGTAAAATTTTTTTGAGTTCTCTCTAGTTGAGTTATTTTTGAAGATTTTTTTGTGTATCATCTCTATGGCTAAAAATACAATGTTTAGCATTCCCGCAATAGCCTGTTAAAGACCAAAAGGGTCAAGCAAGCTAAGGCTCCACAATTTCGCGACCAGCGCCATGATTGTAGCAACATGGTCAATAATATACGCAGGCCACCTTTATTCAACTGACAATCTGGTTCTTACTAATCTGAAGTTGTGTGGGCTTCAAGCCACTATTGAGGATTGGATTCCAGTACTTTGCAATGACAGCTCAGTGTCTTAACCACTGAGTCATTGTGGCTCAAAATTAACATCATGAGCTTAAACTTTCGAGTGCTCACCTACCTCAAGTATTGGAACCATCTTTTCCAGGTTACCATTACCTCCCATATTTTAAGGGTCAAGAATTAGAATCGGGGAAAAAGATATACTTTTATTTGTCGAAAGTACATTTTTGTGTCTCATTTTGTAATTTTCAAGTGTCATCTGCACAAACTAATTAATAATAAGGTTAGGCTCTCGAACCACCATTAAGACCGAGACATAAAAATCCTATTTTTAGATCAAAAATTAAGTTGTTTGTTTTATTTATTGCTTACGGTACATATATTTAACTCAGGTTTTTTAAAACTTATCATTTCTTACCATATCTATTTATGAATCCTTATATGGTAATGCAGTAAATAAAATCTAAGATTATAAATAACCTATGTTACAATATGAAATTAAATTTTTATTTTGTTAAATTTTTACACCAAAAATTTCAATTACTTTAATCCAGTATGAATATCATTGGATGAAAGGTAGTAAAAACATGATTATAAAAATATTGTTTGGTATAAATAATCATCAAAAAATGTTATGCAATATGGTTAATTCAAAATATTTATTCTATTCAGATATATACTTCTTTGATTGTATAGGAAATTTTTTCTAAAATGTTTAAAGAAACGGCTTCAGTCATTTGGCCATCCAAATGACTGAACATACAGTATACTCTCGATATCTCAAAGTTGAAGGGATACTTAAAAAAATTTCAAGATAGCGAGTTTTGGAGATAACAACTTCAGAACTAAATATGTTTTAAAAAGTAGAGTCATAAAACATAAGAATAACTATTATTAAATATGTAAGTAATGATAGATGTCTAAATACAACAATGATAGTTTCATTTTTAAAAGTAAGATAAAAAGAATTATGCATGAAGTAGAAAAGAAATGGTTTACAATAAACTTACTTTGTGAAATTTTCGAAAAAACTCATTTTCCATTTCGAAAAAAATTCTGCATGACAAGGTTTTGAGAAGAATACTTCAACATAGAATTTCAAGTTAACATGAGTAGATATATAATGCCAAGGGGGAAATCATTTATTTGACATAGAAAGGTTTTCGAGATATCGAGAATATACTGTATATGTTGTTTATATATTACTTCTTCATTTCATTTCTTAATATTATATATATCAATATTATGTGTATTATTAAATTCAAAGCATTTCTGAGAACCATTTTTCAAAATTTTGTAGCTCTTCTGTTGTATAAAAATGTAAATTGCATTGTTGTTGTTTTTTTTAATTCTTTAAATACTTGAAGGAACTGTCAACATAATTTTTTTTTATTATTTAGTAATAACTTTTTCTATAAAACTTTGTATTACGTTGTATTTAGGAATTGTGCATCATTCTGAAACTTTTTGTGATAGTGTTCCATCCATATTTATTGTGTTTTCAATGCAGCTGTAGACTTATTTATTATTTTATAAATTATTAATAAATTTTTAAAACACTAATATTTCATTAATTATATTTTTATTAAAATTTAATGTGAACAATAATTTTTATCTTTTTTTTTTATTTCAAAAACTTTCCGTTTCAAACAATAGTGCTGTTTATCAATATTAATGGATAAAGTGCAAAATTAAATAACTTTCAATTAAAATTTTAGTTATTATATTAAAGGTACTTTAAAATAGTTACTGACAGAACGATATTTTAAATCCTTTATGTAATATTTAGTATACTGTACTATTAAAAGACTTAGTAATACTAAAAAGATATTAATTTTTGAAATATTGTTAACATTTTTTGATTAAATGCAAAAAGAATAATTATTTATACATTGTTTATCTTAGCGGTTCCCCATTCTTTTTGGCTATGGAACCCTAAATAATTGACGATTTATTGACGGAACCCAAAAATGGTTATTGCGGAAACTTATGTATTTATTAAAGAATTTATTTATTTTGATTTGCAAAGTGAGATATGAAATACTGATGGAATTTTGTATAAATGCTTGTTGTTGTTTTTTTTTTTTCATTATTTATTCAATATATTGTTATTGGAAGTATAATATTTTCCTTTAAAAAATATCTTTTTTTTTTCAGTGACATTTTACTTAACGTAATTTCATAAAAACTACCACAAGATAAAATAAATTATGAAGTATATGTTTCATTGAAATATAATCCAAAGTTTTAAAATTCATAACTGGTTATAAAGAAGTACTAACTCTTGGAACACCAATTGGGAACTGATGGTTTACCTTATACATTATTAACATATTATTAACATATTTTCTGTTAAAGAAAAATCATCTGTCTTTATGATCATTTTATATTTGGTTTAGGAAACTCTTTTGTTTGGACCATTTTATATGAAATATTAGCTTGTTCAACATTCCTTGATTGTACATAAATTAAATTAAATTTAGATGTGTAAATAAAGTGTAGATAATTGTCTTACTTTTGTAAATATATTTCAAAGACTGTGATCATAAATTTTAGAAGTTTTATAGAATTGTAAATAATTAAGTGTTGACTATGTAGTAGACTTGTTTTTCAAGGTGATATTCTGAAATAATTATTTTTATTCAATTTCTAATGTGTAAAAAGACTTTTGTCAAAAGTGTTCATTTATTTGTTTTGTTTTAATGCTGTAACTATATTACTTTTTGAACTAATAGTTGCAATAAAACAGTTGAAATGAGTTTTTTTTTTGTGTGGTTTATATACAGGGTGTCTGAAAAGGTCAGATACCTTGAGAGATACAAATTAGATTAGAAAATTGAAAATAAATGTGTTAAATATCAAAGGATATCAAGGGACACCTTCACTCCCAAACTCTGCTCACACTTTCAAGGTCACTCCAGTCTTGGTGGATGTGGGCGGAAGATGAAATTTGGTATTAGACAAAAAAAAATTTAAATATTAGAGACGCCTTTTTCATTTTAGGTATTTGATATTTATTTCTCCAGTAAAATTTCTTATAAATTAGGCTGCAGTATAAGTTTGATATAACGAGTATGGCATTTTACGAGAAATTTGCTATTATGACCCACTTCCAAGTCACTTTCAAATTGCCGATATGCAAGAAACAAGGCTTGCATGCTTATAACTGGTCAAAAATGATTAGCCTCCTGCTATTAGGACAAGAACAATTTTAGGGAAATAAATTTTTTTGCAGTTAAAGTAAGTGCCTTCCCGAATAAGGTTATTTTATTTATTTCAGTTTTAAATACAAAAAAGCGAAAAAGTTAGTAAATGATTTCCTTCTTCCAACTTCAACTCCATATTTTTCTAAAGGTCTATATGAGTGACCATGATCTAAGTTATTTCATTCCCTAACAAAAGAAAAATTCCTTCACTATTTTCAGAATTTTTTTTTTCACCACATGCTACTTCTTACCATAATGTGTAAATATTGCATTGTATAAATTGGTACAATGATCTCCAAGATACAATACCTTCAACATGCAATATATCTTCTTGAAGGTATTGCATTTGCAAAAGGAAATGTTAAAATATTGCATTTCCTTTTTCTTTGCAAAACTAACATTTCTGTCTTAGACATTTCTGCCATTCAAAAAGTGAAGACGCTTTGTGATACGCAACGTGAGCTTAGCTGTTTCGGTTTGAATGTTCATGTTTGCATCAAAAGTAAACTACGATCACTAATTCGTAAAGTAACTTTTTTACACTATGTTCGCTTGAACCATGGTGGCTCAGGAAATAGGGCACTCGCTTCCCCAATAAAGTGACAAGGGTTCAAATATCAGATACGAATTCCACACCCGACTCGCATCCACCACAGTGTCAACGTAAATTATCGTCAGTGGTAGGCGGATCATGGGTTAGAGTCCTCTTACCATCAAGATAATTTCGGGTATCACCATGTGACGCAAATTCGGGTTAATTCCATCCTCCTCCGAAGATTCCCCATGTACTAAATGGTGCATGTTAAATCTGTCGGGCCATAAATTTCTCCATATTCCCTTAACAAATCAATATCTCTGCATTGTAGAATGATCGTTCTCTTAAACAGACAAAATTACGATCTGCAGATGAATGAATGTATGAATGCGGACACATAGATAGCACCCATAGAGTTGAAATACTGGGTAGAGAGAGTAGAATAACCCCCGACCCGTGGACAAGATAAAGTCACGTGACTGTAGCCCAAACTTGCCGTTCACTGAGACCGCTTCGATTCCCGTCCATTCGTTTAGCATTACGATCGTCTGATGCAATTAACTGTCTGTCTTTTTAATTCAGAAATAAGAATGGTACAAAAGTCCTGAGCATTTTGCTTCAAGGAAAAGTTTTCTAGGGACTGTCCGATAACTTTTTACAAGAAAGGGCGACATTTTTTTTCACTTTTTCTATTTTAAAATTGATTTTAAAATTTTTCCGATACTCAGTCATGCTCTGATAATCATGTTTTATTTGCTTTAATAATCAATTACGCTCGTTTTTGCTCACTTTTTTTGCATTTAACATAAGTTTTTATTGTTTCTTAAACTTTAAACTTATAATGTTTAAGTATATTTCAATATATATTCTATTTTTAGCTGAAATAGCTGCAAAGCTTTGTTGGCTTCCTTGGCGAGATACTTTAGCGCCAAGGAACAGTTGAGTAAACTTTCGGTTTTGTTTTAGTTCTCTNTCTCTTTCAAATGCTCCGATTATTTGCGCATCGGTAATATCGAAATAAAGCTGTTTAAAAACTTAGTGCGCCAACATTTGTGATACTGCGCCAAGTATTGCACTCTTTCCATCACGTGATTGTAACTCTTTGCTTGCTATCTGTGGCGTGTCTTTTCGGAAGGAATAAAGCGGACTTGGTTCCTCTACCTACTATATCAACTCTATGATAGCACCATGGTGCATGTTAAATCTGTTCTTGGCCATAGATAGCACCACGGAAAAACAAGAAACGCCCCCTCTGTTTTAAAATTGTTTGGTTTTACCAAGCTGGCTTGCTGGTATCGGCAAACGGCATTCGAAACAACAACAGATAAATAAAATGATAAAACTAAGCCGCTATGGTTCGTTGAAAATGAAATGTTTAATTTTTTCATTCGAGATATCACCGTTGTTCCGTTCGAGATATCACCGTTGTCACCTTGTTCTCGATTCCTATTTTTGCAGCGAAAATGCATCAAAACAAAGTAAAACTTGATATTTATTAAAATTTAGGTTACAATTTTCAAAATCTAAATAATTTCACGGAACTTTTGGAAGATTTCTGTAAAACCCAGTTTTGGAATCCCTGCGTTACGAGCTAAGAAAATAAAGTTTGAATCACATGATCGGCTAAAACAAGACTCTAACGAATGTCTCATAAACTAGTGACACAGTGTATCGTAAAACAAGACAGTAATGTTGGAACAGCTGACTGTAGAGCACTGAAGCAACCATCGACATTGGCTTCTTATATATCTTGTTGATTTTGTGAAATTTAAAAAATATAACGATCCCTTTGACTGAGGATTACTATCGGCGTAAGTTGTTCGTTAATCATTCTTCTTTCTTTATTTAAAACAAATTGGGTACCTAGGCCGCGCAGCCTTTAAAACTTAACTTGCAACATACTAAAACTCTTAAAACAAATCAACTTTAGTAGAAACTGACATAATTGTAAGAGAATGAAATAGGTACGACTCACTCGAAAGACAAGAGATGAAACATCATCCAAATTGGCATAATCCGTTCGTTAATCATAATAAACCTTTCAGTAGATAGTAGTCTGTCTTGTTAAGTATTGAAGGTATTTAATTTAACTACATTTCTCAATTTATTCTCGAATTCTAGTTGATGCGGCATTACTATCAATGAAATACGTGAATTATTAAAAGGACATTCTGACTACCAATAATTTTTTTAAAAAAAGTAATTCAGATTAAAATTATTTCTGTGGAGTATTTTGCTGATGAAACATATGTGGAGAATTGATGATTATATTAATCCTTCCCCGCAGACTCATTAAAAAGTCAGTGGAGGAGGAAGTAAAAGTAAATAAAGCCAGGCATCAATGGTTATTCACATACTGTATGATTTCCAAGATGTATAGATATTTAACGATTTCGCTCGTTGCTTGGTCATCGATGCCCGGAGCGTTAACGTCCCTTTTAGATTATTTCNAACCTTGATCTACAATCTCACATTTATTAAGCTAGACACAGAATATAAACCTGCGTCGCCCAAAGCTTCTGCTACTTCTCTAGTATCTCTTGCTAACGTCAGTACTACAGGCGCCTACTCGTACTACATCATGATGAAGGAGTGGAGTGTCCGCTTCGCGGACAGGTGCTCCGGAAAAACCTCAGTCTAAGTATAGTTAAGTCATGCAAAACCACTTAAACAGGAAACAAAATTAGTCAATTATTTGCAAATTTTAGCTTGTAGCTATTTACCGCTTTTTAAATTATTTTGAANACTACATCATGATGAAGGAGTGGAGTGTCCGCTTCGCGGACAGGTGCTCCGTATAAAACCTCAGTCTATCTAAGTATAGTTAAGTCATGCAAAACCACTTAAACAGGTAACAAAATTAGTCAATTATTTGCAAATTTTAGCTTGTAGCTATTTACCGCTTTTTAAATTATTTTGAATTTTTCGGAGCAATTGGCATTTCAGCAATTGTATAAATTTTTGCATAAATAATCCTGAATCTATTGCAGGGTGTATGAAATTGCAAGCTGTATTATGCCCGCCCTTCCCATTTTTGCCAAGTAGGCGTTACTTTCTACGGTGAAACTTATGGGAATAGTAATCAAACACACTCCGAGCTTGTTAACAGAATATATTAAACACTTCTATTACAATGAATGTTCTCCGTTTGCTAAGAATTGAAATGAGAGATTATTAGTAGTTATATTGAATCATACTATAACAAAATGCCTACGTCGATAGTTGATCTTGTTACTCGGTATTAGGCCAAAGGCTGTTGCCGATTAATCTGCGCAGGGTAAAAATAGATAATCAATTATATATTTACATATTCAGACAAATGAAGTATTTATATTTATAACAGCCCCAGAGATACAACAGATACCACAAGACACTAATGTTATAACCGCTGACTGTAACCTTCGACATATGCTTACATATCTTGATGATTTTACTGGTTGATTTTAAAAACTATAACGCTCCCTTTGATGGAGGATTACTATCGACGTAAGTTGTTCATCAATCATAATAAAGATTTGAGTCAGATAGTAGACTGTCTTGTCAAGTATTGAAGGCATTTAATTTAACTACTGCTTTTAATTTGCTCTCGAATTTTAGCTGATGGAGCACTACTATCAATAAAATACTCGAAATATAAGTAAAAAATAGTTAACTACCACTTATTTTTATTAATAACTGTAATTAATATTAAAATTATTTCATATTGTAGTATAAGTTTCCGTTTCCATAACCATAAGTATGTTCTATATATAAACCCTTCTCCGCAGGCTATTGAATGAGTCAGTGGAGGAGGAATTAAATAAAGTAAAGCCACGCATCAAAGCAATGGTTATAATCTTGATATTCAAGAGTTAAATATCCGCGTACTGATGGATGTAAGAGCCAGTGGAGGAGGTCGGAAGTATACAACATAAATAAAGGCAAGTCTCAAAGTTCTTAACCACATACTCTTTGACTTGCAAGAGTTAAAGATATACCGATTTCTCTCGTTGCTTGGTCATCGATCTCCAAAGCGTTA